TTACATTTGACAAGGTGGATGATGTCATGTGTTTTAAACGTCTATCATTTTTGTTTCTGGTTCAAAAGAAAAAGTTGGAAGTAAATGTGGGTGAAAGTGAAATTTACTGGTTTTCGTTGTAAATATTAGAAAATCAAGGCAATACTGTCTTAATGAAAACATTAACGATTCCCTCTTTATCAAATGAGACAAACGGGAACGAGTTTTGAGTGATACAACTAAGCCAAGCCTGCCACCGTCATTTTAGATCCCCGTCTGGGTAGATTTAAGTCACGTTCTAGGCAACGTATAATCAATAACAAGATAGAATTTCATTTCAGGCCTATTTATCAATTTTATGGTGTGTAACTTTCGCATTTTAGTACGTTGTATGTATGTTGAATCTTCAAATTGTCTTGAAACTTAAAAGAAAATTGTTCTTTAAAAATTCACTGAAAATCGGTAGCTAAAATTATTTGTTTAGGTGTTATTTGATTTTCGTGTTAACTTGTTATTTCGTCAGTCGCCGGAATCTTTTGTTGCTTCACACAGGAAAAACACACTCGACGAAACGTAATGATCAATTTTGTCCTCAATCTCATGTTATAACAGAAAAAGCTTTTGAACATCTGTAAACTCCGAGCGCTTCGCAGTAAGTGATATTTTCAATGAATCTTCGGATTGTTTTCAAGTTCAAGGATTGTAAATTACAATTTTATGAAAAACGAAGGTTGTTCTGTTATTTCAGTGTGAATCCTTGAATGCTTGCCAGTCGCTGGCGCCGCTTGTTGAAACTAAAACGAAAAAAAAAACTCTTTTAAGATTATCATTGGCTTCTTTTTCATCCCACTACTATTCTTAGCAACAAAGGTCGCCATTTCGTCTGTTTATTGCTCGCCAAAAACTATCAAATGCACTCAAAAGCCTAAAATCTAAAAAAAGTTTACAGGAGTCGACCAATCGAGCGAGCGAACGAATGCTATTCCCCACATCGTATCTATAACTCGCTCTTGCGCATGCGCGCAATTTACGAGTTAAAAAGGGGAAAACATAGGAACCCGTGTTGCAGCGTGCAGATATCTTTCGTGCCAGACCTACACACTTAGGCCCGACACCATGCAAAGAAATTCGAAAGGGTACTGTATACCAACTGGCTCGCACGTGCACGCAGGAAAGGCCATAATAATCAGCGAAAATAATAGCAAATGCAGACGAAATTCGCAGTCAAAAAACAGGCAAATAAAATAACAGAAGGATTAAGAACTTACAAATACTAAATACAAAGATACAAATACTATTTCTAAGTGGAATTTCTTGATGGTGGAAAGTGGAAAAAACATTTTACAGTCTTATTTTCTGGAAACATGACGCAGTTAATGAATTTTATGGGGCTATTGATGTTTCCTTTCAAATGAGGGGGGCAGAATTTCCCGTCATTCGCAGTCTGGAAAAGCTGAAGTTATTACACACAGGAACTCGAACGTCAACAGGCACGCGACATGTGACTTTAAAACTCCTCTCCTGTTACAGTTTCTTTATTGTGAACTGTGCGATAATGATGATAAACAATAAAATTACAGACTAATGAATATTTTGTTCTGTACAAGAGCTCTGTTTGCTGATTTTAGCAAATTTCCAAAGTAATAAACGACATAAGAAAGAAACGCTACGATTTTTCAATCGATTTTTCGTGGTGGTCTAAGTGGTCTAAACAACTCTCTTGGGTCAGACGAAAGTTCAGCGATAGGCTCTGAGTGGTAACGCCCTTTAACCTCACGGATCAGTTTGCAGACAAATGCACATCGCCATTTGTAGAGTTCTCTGTCTACAATCAATCTTGTTCTACGCCAACGGCCCTCAAGTCTCCTCCTTGTCACCTTTTCCACTTGAATCTCTGGAGTTAAATTAAGTCTTCTACCGACAAAGCATCTATCTACAATGGCCCGGAAAATGTAATCCTGAACCTTTATCAAAGCCGTTTCGGTGCTATGGTGCTTCTTGTACGCTAGTCGAAGTTGAAATTTTAGGTTGAGGTAATGATATCCTCGCCGAAACTATCAAAGTTGATGCGCTTTAGGTTTCTGTAAGCGATTTCTTTCCTTTCAGACAAAGGTGTGGCCAGAAGGACTTTATAGCGCACTTCATGATGATCACATAAAGCAGGGTCTAGTACTGAGGGTCGACACACAGCGTGGGTATCTGTTCTTGAGATTATCAAATCAAGAATATTATTGTCCTTATGTGTTGATCGCTTGATGTTTTGGACGTAATCAAACGTCTGAGTTACCTGCAAAAATTTAACAGCACTGGTATTGTTTTGATCATCAACCAAATCACCAACAACCATTATCTGGTCCTTGTGAGCCGCCAGGTGTTCAAGAAAGGTTTCAAACTTAAATAGTTCGCTAGTGAGGCCATTTGTTCTTGAAGGTGGTGGGCGATAAACAACCACAAGTTTAAGTGTCCTGGGATTGGAGTGAAGCATGGTGTCTATTTATTCAAATTACCTATACCTGTTCATCAAATTCATCACGACTTTAACGACTTCTTATAAAGCACTGCAACGCCCCCGCCACGCCTTTTCCTTGAGATATGACGAAATACGTAGCCGGTTGGTGTAACATCGCCTATCACAGCTCCATCCGTATCGCGCGGCAAAAGCCACGTTTACGTAAACGCCATGAGTTCTTGAGACGTCAATTTTGTTTTCGATAACGAAGTCATTTAAGATGGAAATCTTGTTGTTAATAGATGGAACATTCAGTAAAAAAATTCGATGGCTTTGCAAGGTTTGAATTCCGGAACTAAACGAGCCCTTGGAACAACGTCAAGATTGTATCTGGTGGGATAGTGTGTCATGTTAGCAGAAATACACTAAGAACGTTCTCGCAGAGATAAACCAAAATTTTTTAAGAGCGTAACAAGAACGTACCCGGGCTAAGTTTCACTTCAAATCGTCTTTATTTCACTCATTTACTTTCGGTGAGAAGTATAAGTAAAGGCAAGAGGAATATACAACTCAACATGGTTGAACGGGAAAATTAATTAAAATACTTAGGGAAATTTGTTAACATTAATAATGCAGTTTTTGTATTGCACTACACACTGAAGAACAACACAGTTTGAAGTCGAACCTAGTCTGGTCACCCCTGAACTGACCTATTGAAATACTATACCACACAACTCTAATAGCATGTCAAGAACATTTCCAGGCTCAAATCGCAAAAGAAAGAAGACGAAGGTTCAGCCTCAGCCCCAAAACTAGACGTTCTTATAAAAAAGGATGTAAGTCAGGATCCTTGGAGCCGCAGAGTTATCTTTCAGACAGACTTGGAGACAGAACTCTATTCTTGGAGTATTGTGGCATTAAGACGCAATGTGTGATGTTTTCAACATCCGATCGGATTTAAACTTTTGGCTTAAGGCAAGAATATCGAAAAGTATTACAATTGGAAAGTTGTTGAAGTAAACATGCAAAGATCCGAGGAGATAGACGGTAACTGGAACAGATACCGGCTCGAGATTCTAGATGTTCGCGATAAAGCAGACATTTCAAGATATTATATCTACAAAACATTACCATTAGAAAAATCATATTTTAGGGTTCTTGAATTGAGTGCAGATTTTTTATGTAGCATATGAAACCACGGGTGACAGTTAACCTTTTGCGTAGGAAAAATAAATGGATTCAGCCGAACTCACTTAAACGATTGAGTTCCCTCATTATCGTAAGGAAAAACCATATTTTAGCGCTCTAGAATTGAGTGCAGAATTTTTTTTACGTACTGTATGAAAACGATGGCTAACAGTTAACCTTTGAGAAGGAAAAAGTAGTGGAGCGGGCCGAATTCACTTAAACGATTGAGTTCCCTCTGTGTTAGCACCACCTACAGCCTCTCACTGAGAGATTGAGCACTATTAGAAGGATAATTTGCAAGGGGGAAATAAGGCAACAAAGGTTTGTGAAGTAAATGCGGAATTAAAAACTTTTCTTTGTGGTTTACCTTTATTTTTTCCTTCCTAGATACTGCTATCTTTTTATCATTAAACCCACAGACTGCCAAAAAAAATCATGTTAAAAATGAAATTAATAGGGTGAGTAGGAAAATTACTCTTGCATAGAAAGAGATTAAACTTATTTCCTCGAAAAAGTGCACATTTAATCTGAAAGAAAAATTATCGTCTGCGTTTGTAGCGAGATTCCGAGATAAGTTTGAGCAAAACTCTCCCACTAAGCGCAAAGGAAAAGTGCCCTCTTGGAAATTCTATATTAGATTTCATCTTTGAATAAAACTGTATTGCTAAAAAAATATACACTTTAAAAATAAACACCAGTATGAATTGTGAAAAAGGAATTTTATGCAGAAAATGTACAGCAATTGCCCGTCATATTTAATTCTGATCATAAAACTAAATAAAACACGATCGCTTAACTGGTGCAGTTAAAATAGTTAAACTAGAACAAGAAAATTGAATAATCTGTAGCCAATTATGGAACTTGCACCGGGCTGTATAGTTGATTGGTGTGTGCTTAAAATATGAAGAAAAGCAGTCAGGAAAGATATGAAGTGTGTAAAGAAAACAATCTTGTGTTAAACTCTGGAGTAAGCAAATACCTCGGCGCGCGGAAATGAATAAATTCATTTAGCCAATGAAACTCCTGTATAAGGGAGCGGGATTTCAGCAGCATAATCTCCGCGTGAAATACATTCCATGAACAATGTTTTTATAGAGGTTTGGCCAGAATGTGGTACACTACCGCCATATCCTGCTTTAATGGAAGGTATTATAGCGAGGATTATTCAACTTAGACAAGACCGAAAAACGCGCTTTTGTGTGGATGACAACCGAACAGAATATAATCCATGCGGAAATAGACTAGAACCCTTCAAAGTACTTTCTTTGTGTATATGTAAGCCAACCTTTGTTTCTTGCGAAGTAATAGTTCCTTCTACACCTGCTTTCTAATGTTTTCAGTATGTTTATCGAGTATTTACTCTATTTTTTTTTAACTTCAATTCCTGTCGATAATAGTGGGGGATATATTCCGCTGTATTTCCTTTAAATCGTACGATAACCCCTTTCCTTCAAAAGTTAATGCAAGCTTTCCTGGGGCGCATCAGATAGCAACGTAAACAGTTTTTTGGTATCAAATGATGATAAAACTCATATTTTTTCTATTTAAAAATACTAATAAGATCACTGTAACATTTGCTTTGACAGTTCAGCCACAAACAGCCGACTGGCCTTTTTCTCACCTTGACTGAATAGAAGCGATCAAAGCTAGCAGGTTAGTCTATTAAAAATATGTAGATGCCACATAACGGGGTGACTCTTCCTACTAAAAAATTGAGGAGTCCGATTAGAGGAAATTGGGGCCGCTGAGCAAAATTATTCTAGAAGCTGTAGGTCAGTCTTCGTAAGAGCGAGGTGTTGTGACTAACATCTGCTTTTAAAATCAGGTATAAATTCTCGGCCAACCAAATTAAGAAATTTTCATTTCTCATTGTTGAAAACATACTGGGTTAAGACTGCACACTATGTAAAATCAAGGAGTGACATCCTTTGTAGTTAAAGTTCGACAGAACTGAGAATGTAAGTCACGGTTCTGAAATTTAATTGACGCAACTTGTTTGTACCATTTGTCTCTCTAGCTGGGTAGATGTTCTTTGGACGATATACACCTTTTTTCCCCGAGCGGTTAACTTGAAACGTTTAAAATAAAGAAAATATCCTAGCTTAATCGAAAACACCGAATATACACTCCTGGATCTCGTTTATATAATAACCTTGATCAGTTTACTCACTGAACGCAGTTTTTGAGGCGACGCGAGTTGTCATGCGCAACGGGTGTTATAAAACATTTAAATGCGCATAGAAAAGTTTTAAAGTCCACCTTTCTAATAATTGTGCCATCCTCCGTTAGACAATACGGGAGGCTATGAAAGGCAGAAAAAGCTCATATTTTATGATAAAGTTATATCTTTAACTTTTGAGAAACATCCAATGAGTACAATGGGGTAGTGTTATTTCCATTCACTCATTATGCGCTACTACATTTGGATCTTTGAGTAGCTCTTACCAATTGCATTATCTTTTCCTTGACCTCCTCTCTACACTCTCTAGTACTACCCTCTAGATGACATGCTTGAAAGAACAAAGGAGCATAATATAGTCCACCAGTCTGGAGCTAAATTTACGGCAACAATTAAGGAAAAAATCTGCATTTATCTCGTATGTTGTAAAATAATCCAAGAAGTATTCCAAAATATCGTCTCTGTTTGTTTCTTATACTGAGGTTTTCTAACTCATTTAATTCGCCAAGTATTCGAAATTTCCCATCTCCACTTGACGGCAGTTAAAACTAGTTAAAGCACATTTGCGGACTGTCTTACCTCAATAAAACGTATGAGTTCTCCTGTGATAAGAGAACATAAACTGCTCTTGCTTGTGATAAGTAAACCAAACAACCAAAGTCATGAAGGCAACTCGCCTCTTTATTTGCAGATGAAGATCACTCAAAATTTAATGGTTTTCCATCGGTACCGATAATAGAATACAAGGAGGTTACTTAGTGAAATTGTTCGGATATTAAATGTTCACAAATCAAAATCTTCATGCTCCTTTTAACCTAACGTAGTCAGCAAGCTAATAGGGATTTCACGACAAACAAAAAGTTAGGAGGGGGTGGTTGCTCGTCACTCCTCTTTTACACCTTCTCAAATATTTAAGTAAAGTAATCACAAGCCGGCTCGTAATTAAAAAGTGGCTTTCCATTAATGTTCGCGCAAAGTAAATCGACACCAAATCCATAGAGGAAAGTTTGCGATATCGATGGCAGTGGGTGAAGATATGCCGAGAAAGTTCGGCACGCTAAGGAGACTTTCAAAAGAGAGCTATATAAACAAAACGCGGTTTATTTTGCCGCACGAGTTTAAAGAAACAATTTAATGCTAGTAGCTGTTGTCTATGCTAACAGAAAAGTTGTAGCAGAACTGTTTAGGAAAACGGGAATGAAGTCTGGGCACTGCTCCTCAGCTAGAAAAGAGCAGAAAATTACCGAAAAAATTCTGAGACAAAGAAATCTCTAAGTGTTAGGAAAGCGCTTCCATCGACCTGATGACAGCCAGACTTTGTCGGTGTTAAGCAATGAATTTGTGGATGAAATTGCCGCGTCAGTCAATAACACTCTTTAACAGGGATACAACCAATACAGTAACAATTTCTCTGAAACAATTTCCTCCCTCGCCTGAGTGGAGATCGTAAAGATACTACTCTCGTCGTGAGCTAAAGCATCTTTTTCGTCCAGCAAATGTTTTGTAGATTTCTTTTTCTCTTTCTTAAACGCGCTCCTTTCAGTATCGAAACAGCTTTCTGTATACGTCACGAACAGCTTTAGGAAAAGAAGAATCTTCAGATTAGCAAACTGGTCTCTCGGTTTCTAACGATACTCACTTTACAACCATTAATAATTTGTTTCCGACCACGCCACGCCGAGTCATTCTCTTCATTCGGTGAAAACAGAACTTAGACATATAAGGACGTCATCTACGTACTATAATTAGCATTAATTGGCTACATTATGTCAGCAATTAAAAATTCCTGAAAGAGTGATTGTCGAAGGCCTTGAAATAAAGCAAGCTGAATAAAGTTGCCTCTGCAATTTTGGCGCCACGTCATCTGGATGACAACAGATCAGAGAAAGCACTACCTTTGGGTAAACTGACAGTAACTAAAGCAATGCAAAAAGTGCCCTAAAGAAGTAATAAGATACCTCGGTTAACTTGATTTGTCTCTTAATAATAATAAACTCAGCATGAGGGGAGTTTGAATAGAAAATAGCGAAAAATAAAAAAAATGGACTAGGTTAGATGTGAAATATGATATACTGAGGGGAAACGGGACGAAATGACTCTTTGGCCGGCGTGAGTTCTAAGTTAGCTCGTGTAGGTTGATCACCTGATTAGTTTTGATCATTTTAAACTCCTTTGTGCCGGTTTACACAGATTAGACTAACTTGAGGTGAGGTTCGAAATAACTTTTACCCTCAGTTGTTTATGCCGCTCTTTTGAAGCAGTAAAAAGTTTTGTAAAGAGCCTTAATTTACATTCAAGCTCTATCTTTTTTCAGTCGATTTCATCCGCTGTATCAATCAAGACTTTTAGGATGTGGATGTAACACTTCAACCTAACTCGTGCCTGCAAATGCATTTACTGTCAACATAAAATCAAAAATACCAGTACGAAATTAATCTTCTGCTAAAGAGTAAATGTGAATTATGCAATTTGAATAGCTATGCTCAATCAATTAACATTCGTCTGTATTTCAATGTCGAGGTGAAATTTTGTGAATGTTATTTAGAACGAATTGCACCCAGCAGTAACTCTGTACAAAAGGGATCTTAGACTTCTGACTCCACTTAACTGTGTGCACAGCATGAGCTAACCAAAAGAGTATCACTCATAGAGCCATCTAACGACCTCTGTCTTAAAGCGTGTTGAATTTCCTACGTTCCTACCCCTCATTATTCAACAAGGAACGATAATTTGATAATGACTAATCATCATATCCTGTCACTTCTGACACTTCCTTTAAGGATCAATCGTTCTATTTGTTATCTTTTTTATTGGTGCTTTTCAAGCTGATAGAAACGGTTTAGGGCCCTTGGTGGTCTTTTATTGAGCGAGTATAGTTTGAGTTATTTTAAATGTTTTATCGTACTTAAAAAACATGGCGGTTCATCTCTAACCAGTCACAAGGTGGAAGAAATCGATGCAATCGGAGACCCACGTCAATGAGGGATTCCTTTCGCAGGCATTCATTTTAAGTAATCAAAAGACATTATGATACCTACACACTGGCTTTACTGTTGAGCCAAGACTCAATGATTGAAGTCAGCAAATACAATGAGTTTATTTCTATGGTTAAAAAGACAGATTTTTATTTTCGTAAGCAAAATTAGCCTTGTTTGCTCAGCGTGGGTATTTCGGCCTCTTGTTTATTGAAAAAAAGGGGCTGGAGTTACTATGTCTCGAGTCTCTAACGTCTCTCACTCCGAGAAACACTTTGATTAAAGTTTACTAAAGAACCCCAAAACAAACGAATGTTACCATTCATAAACTGCCACTGTCAGTATAATATCAGCTCACCAAGAAAAGACCTACTTATCCCACTACTTCTCCACGCTAAAACTAGCTTTCAGAGCTACTTCAGTGCCGTAAAAGCTTGCGGTAAGCCGTCGTGTGAAACCCTATTTATTATTATTTTTTTTTTTTATAGAAAAACAGCTTCAATCTCCCTTCTCGGTTGTCAAGCCGCTCTTACTCCTCACAGATTTGACGCACCACTTAAACTGCATTGCAAAAACTTCTTGTTATTGCATTCGGAACGTTTTGCAAATGTGAATTATTCCTTTATTGTGAAAGAAAATTGTGGCAAAACAACAATTTGGTTTGATGTTATCCTCAGCATGAGTTCTTGTCATAAATTTGAAAGACAGAACAATCACTGGTATTTGCATTTTTATGTCAACAAATATTTTAATATTCTGAGCAAGTCAGTCTTGCGTTTGCCTTTTGTTTTCTCCACCACAAGGCTCTCGTCGAACGTCATGATTATTGCTGCCTTTTTTTCAGAATAAGGCTAGGTAAAATGGAATATTTAAACTCGAAAGAGGGCATTAATTATAGATCTGCTAGAGATTTACATCTCCCAAACGAATTTCGAGTTTTACTTTTCAGTAGCAGTTGACAAAACTGAAATAATTGATTTCAAATTTTAGAAACTCCTTTTTCAGTAAAAATCAGTATTTTAGTAAAAGGAAAAGTATGGAATGAAACAGAATCCTTGAACAACAAACAGATCATAAGCATTTCAATACCAGAAAGGAAAAAAAAAGGAATTTGCGTTTATTAAAAGCAAGAACTCAAAGAGAACTGACAGAGCTAAATCTGTGTCGAGCCCTCTTTGTTGCGAAGCAGGAAGGAAATTATCTACTAAATCGGATTTTCTCTTTCGCCTTCTTGTTACCATAGTTGCGTATCTTACACCTGTCTCACGAAGTCTATTTCTTGCTATTCGTTCATTACTTGTCTTGAGCGGTAATCTTAGGGAACAATTTGACAGTTCACTAGAAATGACTTGTTCCTGTCATATTTTTTCCGTCAACTTGTCGTGCTTCCTGCGTTTACAACAATCTCTCTTGTTGCCAAGCCGCAATACTTTAGTGCTAGAGTGAAATATCGTTCGTCCTCTATGAAGATGAAGATCGCAAAAAGGTTGTGATGTATTCCCTTTAACTGTAAACAGAGCGACACACAACAGGTAGTCTTTTAGCAGTGCAGATTGTAATGACCTGACCAATGAAAAGTGAGCTCGTCGTTACTCTTAAGGAGGTTATAATGTTACAGCTAGCTTAAGTTTGAAGATATTTAAAATGTAAAAAATGATGCTGGTGTTCTGATTGGTCTCTCATATTTAGATTGTCAATATAGTATGCAAGTTTTATGGAAGTTTTCGTTTCTTAATGTCAACAAAGTGTGTTAGTGTTTTCATCAATTATACTACGCTTTTACTTTGCAGCTGGCTTTTGACGCCAAGTAATCAACGATCAACGAACATAAAAGACATCGCAGCTTTCGATTCTGTTAGGTAGGTCCAGCTCTGTACCTTCCTCTCTTTGTGCAATTTTTATCGGAAAACAAAGGCTGTGTGCGCATGAAAATTGAAAATCCTCAATTAGCAGGAGTTATGTTTTAGTAGTATTTCGTATGCCAGCCCAATTTAAGTTTTCAACTTTGTCAATTATCGATTTTAATGAATTTCGCTTTTATTTTCATGCTGCAGTTGGAATTAAAACGAGGAAAACATAGAGAGCATGTTCTGTGAACCCATCAGCCAAAAAGCTGAGATGTCCAAAGAATATGAATATATATTGTAGAAAGCAAAATATCCCTTCCAGATAACTGCTCAACCTTACCATTGTCGTGCAATGAATACATTTCGGTAAACCAAAATTCACAAAATAAATGAAAAGCAAATATATGACAACTATAATACGACATGGCTTATAATCTAAAGCAAATAATTTTAACCTTTATGATTTATCTTCCTCGGCACGACAGTATGTACGAATCATCGTTCTGACCCAACGGGAAATCGCGATGATAAGGAAAAACTTTCACCCAAGACACTAATTTGTTATGAAATGACAAGTTAACAAAATTGCCATCGCGTTTTCCTTAAAAAAATATTTTACGTTTCTCAAAAAAACGTTGACACTTGCTAACTGCCACCGAAATGGACGGTTTAGTCAAAAAACCTAGTAACGCTTGTCTTTTTTAATTGAAAAGTATTATCTGTATTTATGTGTAAACTTAATGAAGCCCAGTTTTCAATAATTTGACAACGGTTAATGCTTTATTGATGTTACTTCCAACGAGCGCCTATGAATGCCATTTCGTAAATCTGCACGTCAAAATAAGATAATGTTGCTTACTTTTTATTCCAAACAAGAAAAGATTAATTCAGTCGGATAGGCTCAATAATTATTTCACTTCAACCGTCAACTTGCAGCCGGAACTCGACTGGAACTAAAGTTACCTCAGCTCATGACCACTGGTCTGGACACACCGTTTAGACATTTTTTCGGTTTCAGTTTCTCTTAAGCTGCACAAACGATCGAATGGTGTTTACAAGGAGTAGTGCCAATGAGAACATGAGGGACTTGGATCTACCCGTACATCGTATAAAATTATGTCGCCATGTCAAATGAACAGATTGATGTAGGCATCTACTATATGCTGAAGACGTCAGGCTTTCAGACAACAGTAGAACCTCTCCTTTGGGACATTTTTTCCTTTTTTCCCGAAGCTCGGTTTTAACCTGCATTCAGCCCTAGCTACTCAAAACGTAGGCTGACGCCAGGATGATGACAGCTATCACAACGTGTCCTTTTAAACTCGTGAATTGCGCGCATACGCAAAAGCGGGTTGTAGATATGATATGGAGAATGGCACTCGCTCGCTCGCTCGATTGGTCGATTCCTGTAAACTTTTTTTCGATTTTTTTTCTAGCTTTTGAGTGAATTTGATAGTTTTTGGCGAGTAATAAACAAACGGAATGGCGATCTTTGTTGCTAAGAATAGTGGTGGGGTGAAAAAGAAGCCAATGATAATCTTAAAAGAGTTTATTTTTTTTCGTTTCAGTTTCAAAAAGCGGCGCCAGCGACTGGCAGGCGTGCGAGGATTCATTCTGAAATAAGAGAACAACCTTCGTTTTTCATAAAACTGTAATTTACAATCCTTGAACTTGAAAACAATCCAAAGATTCATTAAAAATATCACTTACTCCGAAGCGCTCGGAGTTTACAGGTGTTGAAAAGATTTTTCTGTAATGGCGCGAGATTGGGGACAAAAATGGATTATTGCATTTCGTATCGTGTGGGTTTTTTCTGTGTGAAGCAACAAAAGGTGCCGGCGAGTGACGAAATTACAGGTTAACACGAAATTCAAATAACACCTAAACAAATAATTTTGGCTACCGATTTTCAGTGAATTTTTAAAGAACAATTTTCTTTTAAGTTTTAAGACAATTTGAAGATTCAAAATAAATATTACTTACTAAAATGCGAAAGTCATACACCACAAAATTGATAAATGGGCCTGAAATGAAATTCTATCTTGTTCTTGATTATACGTTGCCTAGCACGTGACCAAAATCTACTCAGGCGGAAATCCAAAATGACAGTGGCAGTCTGGGCTTAGTTATATCACTCAAAACTCGTTCCCGTTTATCTCATTTGGTAAAGAGGGAATTATTGTTTTCATTAAGACTGTATTACCTTGATTTTCCAACCTTTTCTTTTGAACCAGACACAAAAACGATATATGTTTAAAACATATGACATCATCCACCCATTTCAAATGTAATAGCATGATCATTTCAATTGTAATGCCGTCTTATCCCAACGTTACTTTGTTTCTTTGCTACATTAGCGAACACTGAACTACTGCTCGTACTCTAAATATGACAATCAACCACAAAATTCCCTAAACCAGATAACATTAAACATAATCCAAAAAATCATGTAAGTCATCTGTCAATTCACGAGTTTGCTCACAGAGCACTTTGATTAATACCGTACATCATTTGATAGCAGATGTAACTTGGTTTCCAAAGGTTCCATGTTCTCGTGATTTCTTCCGGAATCAAAGCGTCAGTCCATAAGTAGTTTCAGTTCACGAGTGACAAAGGCGTTAATAGGGGCAGTAACGGTTTGACAATTTGGCTTCAGTCAACTTTGCACAAATCATTTCCTTCAATTATTTCTCCAAATCATTTTACCGCAATATTTGTGCCATAGAAGATACTTTTACATGAGGGTTCCATCCCGTCACTAGCTTTCCAGTAATGACCGCTGTCCCTTCTATTTATGCTTCGCTTTAGGTAACGTACTACTTCATGTTGGGAGGGGGGAGTGTGAAGAGGGGGGATGGGGGGTGTTAAGACACACCGCTACCCAGGGGACACTTGCCTTGGTCCTGAGGTGTTCCTTGCATAGAGGTTTTACTTTACCTTTTCAGTGTTAAGATCGTGTGAGGTTGCTGAGTTCGTTCTACTTATCGATAAAAAAAAAATTTCTAAATTTAAAAAAATAAAACTACAGTTAGCTTTGTGTTAAAGAGATCAAAATATCAAGTGCACTAGATAGAGCTTTACACGGACGTTATGGTTATTGTAAGAGCCCAGAGCCTCTATACACGCTTAGCACGTAGGATATTTCGATAACGTCTTTTGCTTGGTCGTCTCGATATATCTATTATAAAACGAAACTTAACATAGCTGCTTTGAGGTATGAATTTAATCGTTCGGTAGCTAAGGCACTCAGATGAACTACAGATCCTATCAATCTTGTTAACGTTCAGGTGGAGTAACAACCGCTCTTCCTTTCAACGAGCGAGGTTGCGGGTAACAGATACATTAATTCAGCAGATCCACTTCTAATGATACTGAAAAACGAGGCAAAATTTGTATTTCTGCACTTAAATGATTTCGGAGTCCTTCGCAAAATAAAAGTGGAGTCGCCTCCGCCGGGAAAAGCCCCAAACCTTATTTCAAGAGAAGCCGATATACATAGTATACCAACATCGAACGGAAAGTTGCCTACATTAAGCGTTTTTTTTTTTTCCAAATTAAATCTTATTTATAAGTTATTCCGACAGCCGTAATTAATTTCCAATGCTGATTCATCCTACTCATCTCGCTGAGTTTTGGAAACTGAATACGGTTCTTTCCTATGGGAAAACATTTTTCTGTCATCTTTTCCGTAAGTATTCGAAGTTTATCCCGTTGTTTTAGGAGTCCTTCATTTCACTGCCATCTCAACTGGCTTGTCGGAAGAACCCTTCGTCATTAATATAGCAAAGAAACTCTAAAAAACCGATGAAAGTGATGAGGGAAACTAAGAGAGACTTCAAATCGCAAGGTAAAACCTGAGAGCTAGCGTGACATTCAGTAATCTAACAATAATCCAACAAATACAGCAATACAGAATCCAGCTGTGAAGAGAGTCATGCAAATAAGTAAGCTTTGACGTGTCGATAAAATAGAACTTTTCACGTTTGTCAGATAAAAGAGAATATTGACATTAGGGCTCAATAACCTTATTTTCGTTGAATTTTTCAGAACGGTAATTTCAAGGGCCAAGATCTATTACAAATAACTCACCGAAAAAAAGATTTAACAAAAGGAATCCGCGCAACCACCATGGTTTAAACCTTTGTGTATTCGTTGCACATTAGGTTTCTTTGTCCGTACGTAAATTACCCGTGAATCGATTGGCAAATCATGCAAATTTGGAGCGAATGCTTCTAGTTGGCTGTTTAATTAGTTTCACCTCGATGCACTATTTTTTGGACGGCCGAGGGCACTTAAGTAAGAGTAGATTTCAGAGCTGGTCAATTTCAGCTTTTTAGAGCTTGTCACAACACCCCTCAAAATCCAGGGATTTGATTCTGATCTCTTGTCGCTCAAGAGAAATGGTGTGCCTTACTCCGTAATCACAAAATGAAACCTTCAATTTATTTATTACCTTCAATTTGTATTATTGATAATACACCCTGTTTCTTGTTTTGTTCTCTCAGAGATGGATACAACAGAGAATCTTACAAACGCAACCCCAGATGCACTCCAAACCGAAGAGTTTCCATCCGTAACCGAAATTACCCCGGGAGTAACGAATATCGTTGCAGCGTTGTTTGTTGCTCTACAGATGCCAGTTGCCCTTGGAGGAAACTTCATCGTCATTGCAAGCTTTTACACGTTTAGGGACCTGCGCACAAAGTGCAACTTTTTCATTATCTCTTTAGCAGTCAGCGATATTTTGGTTGCGTTGATCGCCATGCCTTTTTGGTTAACTCTCCAAATAACCCAGAATGTATGGATTTACGGTGACACGTTAAAACAATTTTGGGACTGCATGGACATTCTGTGCGGAACAGCGTCTATAATGAACTTGACTGCGGTCAGTTTTGACCGACAGTTGGCGATCACTTCTCCGTTTGCTTATCCTAAAATCTTGACGACACGGCGTGTTATCTGTCTTATATTCTTTGTTTGGTGTTATGCTGCAACCATTTCATGTTTGGTTCTTATTTCAAGTGATGAGCACGAATGGCCGTATCCCAATTATTTATGGTTCGTATCCGTCTTGAGTTTCTTTCTCCCTTTAGTCATTATGCTAGTTATGTACGCTCGGATTTACTTGGTAGCACGTTACCAAGCAAGGCAAATAGGAAGAAACTACGCCACAGATATCAAAGCCGCAAAAACGATTGCGGTTGTGATAGGTGGATTTGTTATCTGCTGGCTCCCGTTCTTTATAGTAGTTTTATCTTATGCAAATCGCACGAATATTCCTCTCAGTTTCCTAAACGTAGTCAAGTGGTTGGAATATTTAAATAGTTGTCTGAATCCAGTAATTTACACCTGTTTAAACCGCACTTATCGTAGCGCTTTTAAAAAATTGCTTCGTCGCTGTCGTTCGAAAATCAAGAGGGATCAAAGAGAACAGTCAAAGAGTAACACCATATCAACCATTTCGCCCATCGTTTCGATAGGCGAAACACAAGCACCGTTAACTCTTGTGGAACGAGAATGTTTTTCCAATCCAAACGAACCCAAAAGCCCAACTGCTAGGACAAATGACGATGTCAGTGAAAACATTCCTCTGAAAGTAACTGGTCCTAGCTAAGTATGGCACTCCGGCTGACGGTGCAAGCCTCAATCGGCCCTTTCATCCAAACTAAACACGAAAGAGTGACATATAAACGAACTAATGGCAAATATGAAAATATGACATACTAGAGAATACAGCTTTGGCTCATCCTCTCCAATTGAATTAAGAGGCCTTAAAAGTTTATTTCAATATTTGAGCAATCTTCTACTTTGATTATGTTCAGTACTTCCTAATTATAAATGTACTCGTAGCTATTAACGAGTGCGATTAAAAACCGAAGATGAAAGTATACACGTCATCCTAGTAATTGGGCAGTGTGTTAGGACGCTGAACGCTTCATGTCTGCGTTGTTCTAAAGAACGCGTCATTTCGGTGAGATGGTTCATTTTCTTGTGGAAAAAAGTCAACATATAAGTGTAATTGAAGTGAATGTTTGTCTTGTACACGGTTGTACTCGTTGTGAAACAAATGATTGCATCAATAGAGACCACGACGGTAATTACTTTAGAGACTGCTAGGAATTGAGTGCTGAGATGTAGCTGAAAATTCTTTAAGAAGGTTTCTGCAATCGGTAAAGGAGATAACGAGGATATGTTTACTTTTGTGTTTCTTCATCTTCGTTTTATTTCCAGTGTAATTAAATGAAGTCAGTAAAAAAATAAATAAATAAATAAACAAATTTGACCCGCCTCGATTAGCATTTGCTATCCGCGGGTCAAAGGAATATCTTATGATAAGTAAGAAAATGAAAAATAAAATTGTGAAAAGTGTGTGTGAAGTGTGACATTGTGCGTTCGGTCAAAACAACCGCGTACGATCAAAACAATAAGATAAAATGAAATTTTCACATCTTTAAGGCGCAAAAAAGTTCAAAGTCCGACCAAACAGTTCAAGGAATTGTTCAGTCTGTGTCCGAATCACTTTCGATGAAATGAAATCGTCGTTTGCGAGGTTTATCAGGCGAGGCCTTGTTGTTGAGGTTGAATGTGACAGTGCAGTTAGTGAAGGAATTCATCAGATTCTGCGCTTGAGAGTTCATCATGTGTGGAATTACTGCATTTGAAACACAAGGACCAGATGAACTACCCGCCACCAGCACGGGTTTTGGTGTACTATTTCCCTTTGAGAAAGCCCACGAAAGCTGTCGCTGTTCGTCTTCGTCGGCTTCATCGTAGTCATCTAAAGACTGAATATTTCTGTGACCGGTGACTTTTGCAATGGATGACCTCTCGAGATTTGCTTTCTTCATCTTGCCAAGGAGCGTTTTGAGGGCACTGTGATTGGTAAACCGCTTCTCGGATGACTGAAGGGTGGTTTGGGAGATGATATTTTTCATCATGGAGTTGATTTTATTTTCTCCCATG